GCCACCGAGCACCAGCTCTGCGGCCCCGTCCACGGCTGGACCCACAGCGTCCACTCCCACCGCGGGAGCCACCACAAGCCCAGCCCCAGGAACCACTGCGACTCCCGGAGACACCACCACGGCCACCCCTACGCCCACGGCACGCACCACTCCCTCGACCACTCTGGCCCCCAGCAGCACCACCTCGGTGACCCCCTCGACCGCTCCAACCACAGCGTCGACTCCCACCGGGGCGCCCACCACCACCCCTCTCCCCGCCACGCCCACCCCGCAGACCACTCCCTCGACCACCCTGCCACCCAGCACCACCTCCGTCACCATTTCCACCGCTGACACGGCCGCGTCGACCTCCACCGGGCAGCCCAGCACCCCTGGCACCACCACGCCCACGCCAGGCACCACTGCCCCGACCACTCTGGCCCCCAGCACCGCACCGACGACCACGGCCCGTTCCACGGCTCCCACCACAGCGTCCTCTCCCACCACGGAGGTCTCCGCGCCCGCCACCACCGTGTCCACCCTGGGGACCACTCTCGCAACCACTCTGCCACCGAGCACCAGCTCTGCGGCCCCGTCCACGGCTGGACCCACAGCGTCCACTCCCACCGCGGGAGCCACCACAAGCCCAGCCCCAGGAACCACTGCGACTCCCGGAGACACCACCACGGCCACCCCTACGCCCACGGCACGCACCACTCCCTCGACCACTCTGGCCCCCAGCAGCACCACCTCGGTGACCCCCTCGACCGCTCCAACCACAGCGTCGACTCCCACCGGGGCGCCCACCACCACCCCTCTCCCCGCCACGCCCACCCCGCAGACCACTCCCTCGACCACCCTGCCACCCAGCACCACCTCCGTCACCATTTCCACCGCTGACACGGCCGCGTCGACCTCCACCGGGCAGCCCAGCACCCCTGGCACCACCACGCCCACGCCAGGCACCACTGCCCCGACCACTCTGGCCCCCAGCACCGCACCGACGACCACGGCCCGTTCCACGGCTCCCACCACAGCGTCCTCTCCCACCACGGAGGTCTCCGCGCCCGCCACCACCGTGTCCACCCTGGGGACCACTCTCGCAACCACTCTGCCACCGAGCACCAGCTCTGCGGCCCCGTCCACGGCTGGACCCACAGCGTCCACTCCCACCGCGGGAGCCACCACAAGCCCAGCCCCAGGAACCACTGCGACTCCCGGAGACACCACCACGGCCACCCCTACGCCCACGGCACGCACCACTCCCTCGACCACTCTGGCCCCCAGCAGCACCACCTCGGTGACCCCCTCGACCGCTCCAACCACAGCGTCGACTCCCACCGGGGCGCCCACCACCACCCCTCTCCCCGCCACGCCCACCCCGCAGACCACTCCCTCGACCACCCTGCCACCCAGCACCACCTCCGTCACCATTTCCACCGCTGACACGGCCGCGTCGACCTCCACCGGGCAGCCCAGCACCCCTGGCACCACCACGCCCACGCCAGGCACCACTGCCCCGACCACTCTGGCCCCCAGCACCGCACCGACGACCACGGCCCGTTCCACGGCTCCCACCACAGCGTCCTCTCCCACCACGGAGGTCTCCGCGCCCGCCACCACCGTGTCCACCCTGGGGACCACTCTCGCAACCACTCTGCCACCGAGCACCAGCTCTGCGGCCCCGTCCACGGCTGGACCCACAGCGTCCACTCCCACCGCGGGAGCCACCACAAGCCCAGCCCCAGGAACCACTGCGACTCCCGGAGACACCACCACGGCCACCCCTACGCCCACGGCACGCACCACTCCCTCGACCACTCTGGCCCCCAGCAGCACCACCTCGGTGACCCCCTCGACCGCTCCAACCACAGCGTCGACTCCCACCGGGGCGCCCACCACCACCCCTCTCCCCGCCACGCCCACCCCGCAGACCACTCCCTCGACCACCCTGCCACCCAGCACCACCTCCGTCACCATTTCCACCAACCCTGGTCTCAGCTCCACTCCCACTTTTCCCACTACAGGTAAGTTCTCTCTGAGTTCTCCTTTCGGTGTCATGTCTTTCTTCTTCTCACCGCCTTGCTCTGTGGTCTTTTGAAACTCTTTCTGCTGTGTTCAGTTTCTCTCATTTTTCTTCACCTACAGCTCCCTTTGTCCTGTCACACGCCCACCTGCTATGTCTCCTGTCTTGCTGTCCTTGCCCAAGTTCCACTCCTGGCACAAGTGTCGCCTGCCTGTGCCTGTGTGTCTGCCGTCCTCAGTGAGCACCGTGGCTGCCCCCTTTCCTCTGTCCTGCTCTGCGGTTCCCATTCTGGCGTGATGTGCACATTTTGCGTTTCCACAGTGCTGCAGTCAGGTTTTCACTGATTCTGTTCCTACCTGAGTGCTGGGGGTTTTGGGGGCAGGAGAATGGTGCCATAGTCTTCATGTCATCCTTTGCGAGCTCTCTCTGTGCCACTTTTACTATGATGGTTCCAGGCTAGCCCTTAAGCATCCAGTGCAGATCCAAATGCAGCTGCCCTGGCTGCTGTCTGCCTTCAGTGTCCTCTGGCTACCTGGGGCGTTTGTGCTCTGTATCTTTCTCCCTGCTGTGACCTAGCTCTCTTCCTCCGGGTGGAGGTGAGACCTGCCTCCCTCTGCAACTCTGGAACGTGGTGCTACCGGAGCTCAGCTCATACACGCACACAGCATAAATACACTGTGACTCTTCCGAGCAGCAGCCCCAGATTGACAAGGGGAGCCGGCATTTGCAAACGTATTCCAGTTAAAAGACCTGAGCGCACACATGAACAGACATGACCTGTAGCTATGCTTGCAGCTGCCGGCCCTGTGTCTGCCCAGGGCGCTGCCCAAGCAGTGAGTCAGTGGAAGCGAAGGGCAGTTGTTGAGATTCAGCTCCTACCGTCTCTCAGGCTTGGTGCCAGCTCCTGCTCTGGGTCCCACGTCCCCCGGCAGGGGGCTCTGTCCCTGGCTTTCCCACCAGTGGGTCTGTCTCGCTGGGCTCTCTGGCTCTCAGACAAGGGCCTGAGCACCTGCAGGTAGGAGTTCTGGGCCCCGTGTTCCAAGCTGTGGAAGGTGGCCCAAGTGCTGAGGCCCCTGTCATCCACATGAGGGACCCAGATGTGAGTTCTTGCTCCTGGCTCCTGGCTCTGGCCGAGGCCCTGCTGTGACCCAGAGGGAAGATTTCTGTGTCTCTCCCTCTCTCTTCTGTCACTCTGCCTTTAATAAATAATATATCTTTTTTTAAAGTTTATTGAAATGTAACTTAAAGATAAGTTTATTTTAGCGTAAAATAAAATCAAAACCCACGTATACGGGACTGGCTTGTGGCGTGGCAGGTGAAGCCACAGCCTGCAGTGCCAACATCCCATATGGGTGCTGGCTCAAGTCCCAGCTGCTCCTCTTCCAATCCAGCTCTCTGCTGTGCCCTGGGAAAGCAGCAGAGGATGGCCCAAGTCCTTGGACCCCTGCACTCATGTCGGAGTCCTGGAGGAGGCTTCTGGCTCCTGGCTTTGGATTGGCGCAGCTCTGGCCATTGCAGCCAACTGGGGAGTAAACCAGTGGATGGAAGACCTCTCTCTCTCTCTCTCTCTGCCTCTCTTTCACTCTCTGTGTAACTCTGACTTTCAAATAAAGAAATAACTCTTAAAAAAACACACATATGAGGGATCTTCAAAAAGTTCATGAAAAATGTGTATTATGAAAAACCTATGCTAGGATTTCAATTTTTTGTGGCAAAATTAACTTATATTTTGACTGCATTTTTCCATGAAATTTAAAAATATATTTAAAATATTTATTTACTTGAAAGGCAGTTACAAGAAGGGGAGAAAGAAAGAGAGAGAGCAAGAGAGATTTTTTTTTTTTTGACAGGCAGAGTGGATAGTGAGAGAGACAGAGAGAAAGGTCTTCCTTTGCCATTGGTTCACTCTCCAATGGCCGCCGTGGCCGGCGTGCTGCAGCCGGCGCACCGCGCTGATCCGATGGCAGGAGCCAGGTGCTTCTCCTGGTCTCCCATGGGGTGCAGGGCCCAAGGACTTGGGCCATCCTCCACTGTACTCCCTGGCCACAGCAGAGAGCTGGCCTGGAAGAGGAGCAACTGGGACAGAATCTGGTGCCCCGACTGGGATTAGAACCCGGTGTGCTGGCGCTGCAAGGCAGAGGATTAGCTTATTGAGCCACGGTGCCGACTGAAAGAGAGATCTTCCATTGGCTGGTTTACTCCCCAAATGGCCATAGTGGCTGGGGCTGGGCCTGTCCAAAGCCAGGAGCCAGAAGCTTCTTCCAGGTCTCCCACGTGGGTGCAGGGGTCCAAGGGTTTGGACCATCTTCCACTGCCTTCCCAGGCACATTAGCAGGAAGCTGGATCAGAAGTGGAGCAGCCAGGCCTCAAACTGGCACCCACATGGGATGCCAGGATTGCAAATAGCAGCTTTTACCTGCTGAGCCACAACGCTGGTCCCTCTGTGAGTGTTTCTGAAATAGCTTTGTACCTACTTGCTGTGCCTGTGCAGACAAATCACAGCCTGAATACCCATCTGCCACTTTCACGAAAAGCCGAGAGTGCAGAGCTTTTCCATATCCTGGGTTGCTTGGCGGTATTGGAGAGCTGTCGATAATCACTTCCCCTCCTCTGTTTAAGCCAAGTCTGTTCTCTGGCCTTAAACTCCAAGTTCCAGGGAGTAGAAAGGAAGCAATTTCTGAAGCAGGGCCGAGGGGTAGTGACCCTGTCTGTGCCCAGGCCTAGCCGGGCCTCCCTAGCCTCATTTTCTCCCGCATGGCCTCTCAGTCTCTGTCTCCTCTCATCCCATGTGTTTGGGGGCTGACCGTGCTGGGCTCCAAGACCTGGCCCAGGCTGCATCTGTGTGGACACACCCCCCTCTTTGTCTTCTGTCTGTAAAAGTGGGATGACAGTCCCTGTCACACACACACACACACACACACACACACACACACACACCGTCTGACCTCAGGGTCCAGTCAGACGGCGTCCACGCCAGCACTTTGCGAGCTGTGGAATGCTGGGCGTGTGCGCATGCCTGAGCAAGCCCTCATCCCTTCCAGTGATCTGCGAGAACGGAGGGTCATGGAACAACGGCACCTGCATTTGCACAAATGGCTTTGAAGGAGACAGATGCCAGTTCCTGGTGGATGAACAGTTGTGTTACAACGGGGGCTTCTGGGACGGGATCAAATGCCAGTGCCATCTACCCTTCTACGGGCCGCGCTGTCAGGAGGTGGTTGACAGCCTTGATCTAGGTGAGTGGGCCCCAAGTCCTCCCCAACCCTGGCCCAGTGCCTGTAGGAATACGGCCTCCTCGGGGTCACACTGAACACAAGTCCAAACACTCCGAGATGAACAGGGTGAGATACACCCTGGGAGGACATACCAATGCGACACGGAGTGATTTTTCACCATCAAATACACTTACCATAAATGAGCACAGATGGCCCCCGACGTAAGATGGTTCCGCTTTAGGTTTTTCCACTTTGCAGTGGTGGGAAAGGGAGGGTGTGCAGTGTAGTCTTGGCCCTCTGTGGCCACGCTGGCCAGCCATGGCGAGCGCAGCTCCCGGTCGGCTCCACGGTCACCGCTGTGTGGCTGAGCTGGGGAGCTGGGTAGGTTAGGTGGACTCGTCGCATTTCCGACTTAACGATGGTGTCAGCCTATGATGGGCATTTCTGGGCCTGACCTTGCTGGCGGTGGAGGATGGACGAGGAGGCAAGGCCTGTGTGTGTGGTGGGGGAGGTGTCCGAGGGAAAACAGGGGCCCTGCCTGAAAGTCCACCAGGATGGGTCTCTGGGTGCGGGCGTCCTTGGTGGCGGGGAGCTCCATCAGCAGCGCCGCCGTCTCTGCCGCCCTCAGAGCCGCCACAGATGGTGTCTGCGGTAGTGGAGCTGTCTGTGACGGTGACCAGTGAGGAGTACAGCGAGCAACTCCAAAACCAATCTTCGGAGGAATTCAAGAACTTCAACGAGACCTTCACCAAGCAGGTAAGCCTGGGCAATCGGGCCCCGCAGTCGCTCAGCTCAGCAGCGGCTAGGGAAGCTGCCCGGGGATGCTCTCCTGCCAGGCGGGTGCCCTGCCTCTCAGCTCCAGGGGAAGGTTAAGGTTAAGGTTAAGGTTAGGGTTAGGGTCAGGGTCAGGGTTAGGGTTAGGGTCAGGGAGGCTTCCAGGGGGCACCCGGGCACCAGGGACCCCTGCATGGGCTCAGCACCCCCGGGGGTGCATGTGGGCAGCTGCTGCAGACAGGACGCCCCATTCTTTCCCCCACCCTACTCGACCCCCGACTCCCACAGCCCCGACGTGGGGCCTCTGGGATGACTCGGTGGCCCTTGCCTTTCAGATGGCGCTGATTTATTCTGAAATCCCCGAGTACTACGGGGTCAACATCACCAGGCTGTCGTGAGTACCGGGGGCTGGAAGGGAGGGGGAGGGGCGTGAGCGCCACACCGCTGCGGTGGCCCACGGCTGCGGGCCCTCTCCCGGGCACTGCCCACTGCCAACGAGCCTTTGCTATCGGTGGTCTTTCTGAGAGAGACGGGTGTAGGCGTGGGCATTCCGTGGCCTCTTCGTGGCCGGAGCCCGCAGCACTGCATGCACTACAGTGGCCACCGGGACCGTGGCCACCGTCTGACTGTGTTGGGGGCCCCAGCCCCCCCCCCCAACTTCCCAGGCTGAGGCAGTCACTGTTCTAAGTTTCCCTCAGCTCCCTTTAAACCTCCGCACCCGTGAGAGGGTGCCCGCTCGTCTTTGTGGCCGAGTAACATTCCCACGCATATCTCACTCGTCCGCCCGTCCGGCCGCGGATGGCCACTCCCGCCCACGTGTCGAGACAGTTCTTCCCTCACAGCTCCCGAGCCCGGAATAAAGCCAACATGGCAGCCCAGCGCGTTTCTCCCGAGGCCTCCCCACCGCGCTCAGGGCCCTTCCGGTGTCTTCGCGTGGTCTCCGTCCCGCGTGGTCTCTGTGTGTGTGTGTGTGTGCGTGTGTGGATTCCCACCAGAGGGGGCGCTCGCCTCACCCTTTGAATTCCGCGGCGGGAGGCACTGGGATCCCAACAGCGACCCCTAGAGCGCGGGAGGACAGTGCTCATTGCTGGGAACTTGCTGGTGGCGCGGACAGCCCTGCCTGGGTCCCCGAGCCGTGCAGAGCCCACAGCGGGCAGGGCAGGCGGGGAGGGGCCCGTGGCACGCCGCCCACGGCCGTCTCCCCTCCATCCTCAGGCCTGGCAGCGTGGTGGTGGAGCATGACGTCATCCTGAGGACCACCTACACGCCGCAGTATCAGGAGGTGTTCGGGCAGGCCACGGAGACCGTGGAGGAGATCATCATGAACGTGACGGCCAAGCAGATCAGCACGAACAACTCCTGCCCCGGTAACTCCCGCTGCACCAGGTCCCGGGGTCGGCGAGGGAGGGAGGGAAGAGGAGGGAGGAGCCCGGCCCGGGGGCCAGCTGCAGGCCTGGGCGGGGAAGTGGGGACCACTGCGCTTGTTGCTTTCAAAAGGCGATGGGGGCGTGGCGGGGCAGGGCAGGGGCGGGGCGGGGGCGGGGCGGGGGCGTGGCTGGCAGGGAGTGGCGAGGCAGGGCGGGGCGTGGGCAGGGTGGGCGTGGCACTGCGAGGTCGTGGAGGCGCAGGGCACTTCAGGGCTGCGAAGAGGGGGCTAGGGGCACGCTGCTCCCCCCGTCACTCCCATCCCGGTCCCGCGAGGGTACGCTTGGGCTTGCTTTAAGGAGGCTTCCTGTGTCTTCTTCCCCAGCCTTGCTGTGTTTCAACACGACGGCCACCATGGTGCAAAATGTCACCATCGACTACGACCCCGAAGGTGGGTGGCGCTGCGGGGCAGGGACGTGGGGTGGGGAGCAGGTCTGGGGCGAGGCTGGGGAGGGGCCGGGTAGGACCCCAGGCCCTGGCTCACGGCCGCCACCCCCGTGCCCCGCAGAGGAGTGCCGACAGAAGGCAGGGCCGGTGTACAGTCCCTACTTCACGGTGGAGTACAAGGACCAGACGCCCTACTGCGTGTCGCCCTGCATGTCAGACTTCAACGTCTCCATGAACTGCAACATGGGCAAGTGCCGGCTGGAGACCACCGGCCCCCGGTGCTTGTGAGTGTCCCATACCCCGGCCCCCGGGACCCCCGCCCAAGACACCGAGGGCACAGGGCTGGGTCTCCGTGTCTCCTGACTGTGGCCAGCCACAGAGGAACAGCATGGGGGCTGGGAGGACCTGCGTAGGCCCGGGGTGGCTCCGTGCCTTGTCTGTGCTGAGCAGAGAGAGGCTGAGCAGAGAGGCCTGAGGAGTCAACCCAGAAGGGCTTCCCGGAGGAGGAGTATCAGGACGGGGAGGGGGCAGCTTTGAGAGGAAGAAGAGCTTCGAGGAGGGGACATGAGATCTGGGCTGGGATCCGGGCTGGATTTCCTGCAGGAGAGGAAGACTGGGCATGAGAGTAGCCCAGGGGGAGGAGGAAGGGTGGCCCTAGGGTCCTTGTCCCCTGGGGAGGCACGGGCTCTGGGCTGCTCCTAGAGGCAGCAGGGGCCTCCAGCTGGGGGTGGGGCCCACGGTCAGGGGACATGGGCACTGTCCTCGCTGGCTCTGCACCCTGGCCATCTCCCCTTCTTCCCTGGGGTCGGGGCCGGCTCTGCAGCCACGGCTGTCCCTGACTGTCCCCTGTCCCCCGTCAGCTGCCTGATTACAGACACTCACTGGTACAGCGGAGAGACCTGCCAGTGGGCCACCTCCAAGAGCCTGGTGTACGGGCTGCTGGGGGCGGCGGGTGGCTTGCTGCTGATCATCATCATGGCTCTGTTGGTGTTCTCGCTGCGCTCCAGGAGGAAGGCGAGGAGGTGAGTGGCTGGGGCCCCGGCCCCTTCCTCCTCCTCGCTCCATCTGCCCGCCCATGGTTGCTCCACCCTGGGGGTGGGCAGTGGACATGGCTCCTCCCTGGCTCCTGGTCACCAGGGGTCTCCCTGGGGCTTCTTCAACAGGAAACAGTCCATAGAGCCTCAGCTGTACCAATGGCATGAAGAGGTTGGACAGGAGCCAGGGACCTTCCGAAACGTCACCTTCGACCTCCACGAAGGTATCGGCCTCCTCCCGGGACTCGGAATGACCTAAAGGGTGGACACAGGCGGAGCAGGCGCAAGGGGAGGAGACTAGGGCTTAAAGTGGTGCCTCTCTCAGCTGCGGAATATTTGGCTCCACGTTTGAGCCCCCATGCCCACCGCCCGGCTCCTGCAGGACCCTGGGTGGGTGGGGGGGTGTATCAACATGGGTGCAGGGAGTGTGTGAGACCACCTGGGGAGGCCCGGCCTCCCTGATGACGCGGCTTTCTCGTGAACCAAAGACAAGAAGGACAAACTCTAAGGACAACACCTGCTGTTCTCTGGGTAGTGAGGATCATGGCAGGCAGGTAAACAGTAAGGCAGAAAGAATTACCAGAACCCCGGGGAAAACGGCTTATCCTGTCAGACCCGAGTCCACGTCAGGAAAGCCAAAGCTGACAAAACTGCGAGGAAAACGGACAACCCCTCCGACGTGGGGGGAGCGTCCCGAATCACTCAGTAATTGACTGGCCAAGCGGGCTGCCAGTCATCAAAAATGTACAACTTTTGTGCAAGACAATGTAGCACCGAATGCCTGCTTCAGTGACTCGGGAACACGCATGCATTAAAAAGCACATGGAAAAAGCGAAAGAATGGGCCACACTCAAGGCCATTACCAAGTTTCCGTGAATTTCCAAACAGTTCTTGAATCAGGCTCCATCATCTAACTGCATTGCAAAGGAGGCTAGAAACCCGTAACAAAAATATTTCTGGGAGACAAAGGCAAAAATCCCATGTCTTTGGGAAAAAAATTTTTTCTTGAAGCTTCTAAATAACCCATAGACCAAATAAGAACTCATAAGGGAAGACAGAAAGTGCTTGGATCCGGGTGATAAGGAAAGCGTGTACTTGGTTTCAAAGCTTCCGGGGTGCAGCTACACACCCATTCAGAAGGAAATTCATAGCCTTAAAATGCTCATGGTAGAGAGCTGCAGGGGGCAGGGGAGTCGGGCATACTGTCACATTTTTGGAGCTTTTCTATTTGCTGGGGGTGGGGACGGATGCCCTCAGCCCCCTCCCCTACCCCAGGTGAGCTGAGCGGGAGAGATGATGGCCCATCTTCCTAACCGCCTGCTCCCCCGGGGCTTCCTCCTCCAGGGCAAGACAGCTCCGTCTACGTGAACTCCATCTACAGTAACTTTGAGCCCGCCCTGAGCAACATTGATCCCGAAACAAGGGTAAGAGGGGCCTGGAGAAGGTGCTCCCCCCCAACTCCCCCTCCTATACTCTAGGAGCTTTAGGAAAGCAAGACCCTGTTTTTGGGTGGTGGGTCCAGGCTGTTGTCCCAGCCTACACTGACCGGCTGAGGAGGGAGAACAAGTAGAGCCCCTGAGGCTCCAGGCTCTGGGCTCCTCCTCCACGCTGTGCCCTGGATGGCCAGCTAATTCGGCTGTTTTCATTTAGAAAACACACGAAAGTCAGAAATAATGAGATGTGGACACAACGAATTTTATTCTCTGCCTTTTATTATTTTTTTTTTCCTGTCCTTGGGTCTTTAAATCTAGAGCTGGCTCTTAGCTTTTTAAATTTTTTTTTAACATGTCTGGGATGATTGTTTGCAGGAATGTCCCGTGCTCCGGCTGTCTGGTTTTCTCTGGTGATTTCCTCCTGGGGTCATTCACCCCTCAGCCTTCTGTAATTCCTATAAAGGAGGTTGGGGCTGTAGCTTTCCTTAGGGTCAGCTGAAACATTTTTATTATGTTACAGATGTAGCTAATGTGTTCAGTGCAAGGGTGGGAAGCATTTTTTCCGCCAAGGGTATTTATAACATCATTCCTGAGCCACACACTATTATCCACTTAAACATTAGCCCGCTGTAGGTTTATTGGATTTTAAGTCCCACCTGCAGCTGCCTTGGCAGGACCAGGCCACATGATCTCACAGTCCTGGTGCAGCCCTGGGGCTGGACATTCCCGGCCTCGAGACACCTGCTCAGGTTTTCCGTCTATGAGGGAGGCCAAGGTTCTTGGGCAGGGGCCCCAGTACCTGGGCCGGCCTCCACTGCCTTCCCACATCAGCAGGGAGCTGGATGGGAAGTGGAGCAGCTGGGACTCGAACCGCTGCCCACACGGGTCACAGGCGGCTGCTTAACCCGCCGGCCCCCCACCCGAGCTTCTTAATGCCCTGCCCTCACCTGCGTCCCTCTCTCTCTCTCTCTCTCCAGATCCGAATTCAGAGGCCCCAGGTGATCAAGACGTCTCTCTGAGTGGAAGGTGGCTCTGCAGGGAGTCTGGGAGTGAGAAGTCCCCAGAGGGGCGAAGCCTGGCGGAACAGCTCCCCGCCCGAGAGCGCCCCACGACGGACGGACGCACCCCAAGGAAGAGGAAGCAGAGGCAGCAGCCCGCACGCGGAAACCGCGGGACGCTGCGGCGGGGCTCCTGAAGCCGGGCCGGGCCTCCCCGCCGGCGCCGGCAGAGGCTCCCCACGCGCCTGCGCCGTCAGCACCAGGGACAGCGCGCCCTGCCCCGAGCACCCCCGCTTGGAGGACGTGTATTTAAACACATAGCCTTTATCTCTAGGTTTTTAAGGTCACGACTGTTTTATTTAAAGTTCCTGTTTGTACGGGTTCTGATGTTTGTGTATAAATATGATAGCATTGTAAATAGGATGATACATACGAGATCTGCCTCCCGCGTCTTCCTGTGCCTCCTGGGTGACATGGGGTGGGGGAGACATCGTGCCGCCCACCACTGGGGTTCAGCCTTGCCCTCTGCCCTGTAAGGCCTAGCTTGTTTCTGAAGTCCCTCCCGTCGCTGTCATTTTTAACATTCTCACGATGTTGTACGATGAATCCGGGCCAAACAGCTGGGGGGGGGGGGGGGTCTCTGCCTCCAGCCACCCCGCTCACCGCTTAGCCCGAGCAGAGCCTGGATTCTGCTGCCCCCTCGTGGACGCTCTGAGCATCTGCAGGCGCCCTTCTCTGCCATTGCCTCCCCGGACCTCCCCAGGAGGTAGCCTTAGCCTGTAATTGGTTCATTCTCACTGTTGGCCATCAGAATCCTCAGCCCCCTAAAACTGGGCTGAATTCACATGTCTTCACTTTCGGGGCTGCCTCCTGCCTCACACAGGCCCAGGGGACCCTTGGTAGGTGTCCATTTCCCATCTGGGGCCCTGTCATCCAGCCCTTGGCCATTTTCTCCCTCGTGGAGCCTGGGAAAACAGCTTCCCTCTGCGTCTCCATCCTAGGAGCCCAGTGAGCGCTAAGCGTGTGGCCAGCATCGCTCCCCGCCCGTCTGCACACGAGGGCGGCTGAGGCAAAGAGGAAAGGCTGGGGTGGCTGCTGGGGCCGGGGAGAGGATGTTCTTTCTTCCTTTTGAAAGATTTATTTATTTGAAAGGCAGAGCTACAGAGAGAGGTATGGATGCACGGTCGGATGCAGACACCAAGGCACATGGAGGGGAGCCGTGGGGGCTCTAACAGCCCGCAGCAGCTCGGGCACGGCGCCTCGGCGCTCCTTGGCCGGCTACAGCGTCCTCCTTGGCATGCAGACCCGCTCCTGCCCCTGGCTTCTGCCCACAGCCGGACCCGCAGGTCTGCGCACGGGCACCACCTCGGCCCAGCCCCTGGTGCCCGCGGGCCTCACAGCGCTCTCCCTAGGGCCCGCCCTCCTGCCAATCACACCAGCAGTTCCTGTGCCCTTACTCAAAGCATTGCCACCACCTACCCCCCCCCCCATCTTATCCAAGCAAAACCCACACTGCTGGGCTTGTGTGAAGATCCCTAGAGTCAGGACTCGCACCCAGCCCTGGCTCCATCTCCCCCTCCATCCCATGCCCCTGCCACAGGTGCAGCCTGACTGGCAGCTTCCTCTTCCTCCCTAGACCCTGGGTCTCCTATAACTCCAATTCCACTTCCTCCAGGAAGCCCTCCCTGATGTGACCCTTCTGTGTCTCCGTGACACTGTGCGTCCTTCCCCCGGCCGGCTCACCGTGCCATGCACAGCACAGCAGCTGTCATCGGTGCCTGCAAGGCTTAATCGAATCAGAACTCCTCTCCCCATCTCCTCTCTTCCCATCTGAGCCCTTCCCTTGCTGCAAACGGTCAAGATGAAAGGCATGGTCAGATGAGCTCCTTTGAGAATAAAACCAGCAGCCTGGCCTTTCTCCTTCTTCTCCGGGGTCACTCAGGTCACCTGCCGAGAACAGCAGAGACCCCAAGGGTGGGGCAAGCATGGGGGGGAGACAGACCCCCTCCAAAATAAAACCCCCACGTAAATGTGCCTGCCCACCCCCTAAATGTGCAGAGCAAGAGGAATCGCTGGGGGGGGGTGAGACCTCTGCCAGCTGCGCCAGGCCCCCGGGGTGGGCACTGATTCCGCTATGATGATACAGCAGGTGGGGGCTGGGGCGGGGATGGCGGCGCCTCCCTCAGCCGGGCTCCCTGATGGAGGCAGGACTCACAGGGGAGCCAGGCAGCTGAGGAAATTTACTGCATGTTGGAGCCAAGGAAAGTGGAATTGAACTTGGGCGATAATCAGCCTGATTAGCTCTGTGCCTCCTGGAGGGAGACAAGGGCAGGAGGCAGAGCCGGGGAGGAGGGGGTGAGGGCAGCCGGCGTCAAGGTGGAAGCCCGGGAGCTGGGGTTTGCCAAGGTCAAGAGCGGCTGGTTGTCGGAGGGAGGGTAGGGGAGTGGCAGGGGGAGCCAGGGTTGCCAGGCCGGTGCTGGCCAGCAGAAAGGCCCAAGGTCAGCTGCCAGCAGCCCCCTTGAAGACACTCGGCTTTAGCCGGTGAGGCTTGGTGCGCGGCTGAGACCAGCAGTCTGCGCTCGGTGTGGGGGCCGCCAGCTCCCTGAAGGAGCACCTGCAGCGCCAGCATGCAAGGTGCACCTGCTGCCTGCCGTCTCTGTCTGGGACCCCACGTCTGGCTCTCTGTTAATGTCCAGTGAGGACTGAGCGACGGTCCACCGATGGCCAAGCCCCGGATTTCCAGTACTGTCCGCACTGCAGTGACAGCTCGCGTCAGTCCGATGTCCCCTGTCGGAACAAAGTCCCCGCCGCGGCGACCTTGATGAGGACAGGAGGTGCGTTCAGCTCACAGCTCTGGAGCGTTCTGCCTCTGATGAGAGCCCTCGTGGCTGGGTCACGTGGGCGGCCGACATCCTGGTCGGGCAGGTGCTGGGGAAGTGGGGGTGGGGAGAGACAGAGAACTGGGGGGAAGGGTGGCACAGGGCAGGCTTGTTCTTTTAGGACCGCGCTCTCCGGAGTCTCCCAGGAGGGCAGGACCTCTGATAGCCCTGATGACCTAGCACTGAGCCTTGGCTCACAGAGGCCCTGAGCGTGCCAGCCTCACCACCCTGAGCACCAAGCCTCCTGCATCTCCTGGGCGCCACCATTTGTGAGGCCTGGGAGCAGCCAGCCTCCCAGCCAGCAGCACACATGTGGGGATCCACAGTGCCCCAGCCCTACAGGTGCTCAGATGTGCAGAGGGAGGGAGCCACCAGCCCCCTCCAGCCAAGCCCCCCCCCACCGCTGGTCCCTTGGGGGCTCGGGGGTCGGCTTCCTCCTGCTACCTCCATGAATTTGGAGTTTCAGAGAGATCCTCCCTCTGCACACACGGGTTGACCAGATGGACCAGGAGCGATGCTGCCCCTCCCTCCCCCTGGCTGTTCTTGTGTTTGGGATTTGAACTAAAGCCCCCTGGGGCATGGCTCCCACACTCTGCTGTTTCTGCTTCATCACACACACCCCCCACCTCCCTTTACTGGATCCAGCCGGCCACGGCCATGCAGAGATCCAATCTGAGAACAGCCAGGCCTGAGATCTGGTCCAGTAAGTCAGAGACGCCCCGAGCATCACCCCCCCATCTGTGACGCCCAAGGAGCCAGGGATGTGCAGTGGCTTCGCGGCTGAGACTGGAGGCTGGGGGATGGGATGGGGTCAGGGGAGCCCCAAAGATTTGAGTGCCAGGCCCCAGATCAAGGCTTTAGATGCGCTGGAGAGGGGCTGAACTCTTCCGTGGGTCTCCATGGCTGCCCTTCCCAAGGAGCACAAACTGGTCTTCTCCGAAGTGGGGGTGTCGGCAGGGCTGGTCCCGCCCCGGGCGTCTCTGCAGCTGCGGGGTGCCTGGCTGGCCAGTGCTCTTCGTCTGGGAGAAGCGTCTCTGCCTTCCTCTTCTCCTTGGGGCTCTACCTCCCAACGTCCGTCTTGTAGGGGCCCCAGGCGATGCGGGGTAAGGCCCGCCCTCTCCTCCACACGCTCATCTTTATCCTGCTTCCACGGAAGGTCACGTGCTGGGCTGCTGGGGTTCCGACTCGGATGTGGGACGCACAGCGCCTCCCCTCTCCCAGGGCGGTGGAGCTCACATCTCAGAGGCCCTTAGAGCCAGAAAGGAACCCGGAGCCTCACGTACACAGTGGGGCAGGAGGGGGCCACGGGACTCAGAAACCGCCAAAACCTGAGGAGGTGGGGCGGGGAGAGCTACAGAGAGGTCTTCCCTCCGCTGGGTCACTCCCCAGAGCTGCCTGGGCTGGCCCAGGTGGACGCCTGGAGCCAGGAACTGCATCCAGGCCTCCCACGTGGGTGGCAGGGGCCCGAACACTCCAACAGCCACCCGCTGCCTCCCAGGGTGCGCACCAGCAGGAAGCTGGGATGAGGAGCGGAGCCGGGACTTGAACCCAGGATCTCCCATGTGGGAGGCAGGTGCCCCCCATGGCACCTTAACTGCTGCACCAAGTGCCTCCCAGCCAGGGTCTCCACATTGGAGGACTCATGAGTGGGTTGTAGTCCCCTGGGCAGCCCCCTCCCGTGTGTGTGCATCTCCTGAGGGGTGAGGGTGTTAGGAGGCGTCAGGCACTGGGGTTCACCTCTCATTCCCCCCCCCCACACAACCCGCCCCAGGCAGTGAGAGGGAGCATCTCATCTGGGGTCTGGGCTTATCTCCCAGCTGGGCTGCCCCGAGGGTGGGGACAGACCCCCCCGCAGGGCTGTGGTTTGGGTGTGGCTTTCCCCACCAGGGTTGTGTGCTGAGCTCGGTCAGGTCAGGTCAAGGCACCTTTAAGGGGTTGGAGCCTCAGGTCTGGGTCGTTAGGTCAATTAGGAGTGTGCCCCAGGACTGACTGTGTGCACATCACAGAGAAACTGTATGGGAACATAACAGGTTAAATGAGCGTCTGCAGCATCAGTGTCCCATATGGGCACTGGTTCAAGTCCCGGCTGCTCCACTTCCAATCCAGCTCCCTGCTAATGTGCTTGGAGAGGACCCGAGGGGT